AACTGGTGTGCAGTGTGTTCTATTGTATTCAATTCATTCCCCCGATCCCCTATTCATGTAGCAAGACACTCTACTTTGAAATAGTAATTTCACATATTTTCCGCATTTTTTTTTGATATAATGCCACCCACTGTACTCAATCATAGGTTGCCACCCAATGTATAAAGACATATTTTCAAACTACAGATATACTGTTATACTTTGAATTTTTATATATTTAAGATTTTCGTAGGCCGCATTGGATGGAATTTCAACTAGTTGGTTGTACAGTACAGACACGAAATTGCTGCGGGTTTGGACTGAGGACGATCGATGCACGTGGGATGCCTAGATGGCGAGCGGCAGCCATCTTCCATGATTTGGAATCCTTTGTAAGGGGTGCAAGCAAGCCCTTTTTCGAGTATATCGTGTGGATATCATAGGATATAGAACCAACATATGTGTTTTGGTGTTGTGCGAAGCATGCCCCAAAATGACCATTTGATGATTCAAAAAATCGATAGGCGGGCAAAAACTGACCCATGGATTGAGAATCCTTGCTGACAAACCAGTATACAGAGATGACAGAGGGTCGTGAAGCACCCCAAATTGTGGCCGTCGAATGATAAAGAAAACATATTTGAAAACATGGGATGGCATTAAGGGGTACCCTTGCTTTGAGTTTTTTTCTGACGAACCCAAACAAAATGGTTTTGCCAATTTTGGCTTAATATCAAAAATGCACAGTCACAACTCACAACTCTTTGTGAACACCATCAATGTTGATCTTGCATCGGCACTTTCCGTAAATCAACATTTTGTCGTTTCTCACGGAAGGAATCACCAATTGCTTGGTGAGTTTCCAGTAGTTCCAGGCCACTAGAGACGATTGCCAAGTGGCGAAAGGGGGCCACCCCAAGGGGGCACTAGGTGACCCCACGACTTTTATTCCAATCACATCTCCCTTGATTGAACGCATTGACCCTTGTTTCCGCTATCCCATGGAAAACCAAGCTAGATTCTTGAGCCAACTGCAATCAGGAAGGGAGAAATGGCCAAAACATGGGGCATCATCCATGTTCAGACCCCAATGACCCAATGATCCCAACATTCCACAGGAGCAGCGTGGCGAGTTGCCACAACGGACTTGTGCATTGGGAGCAGCAGGTGCAACCTTGACAGGAAAGTAGTGAATGATGACATGAAATCACGAAAGGTAGCTCCAGAGGGGAGGGCGGCCAGCCCCGTTACCTGATTATTAAGGAGATTGCTAGTCATTGCAAGTTGCAAAAACACGCGAAAACACCACCTATTTGACGATTCTCGGCCACTACGGAACCGAGAAAAAACGCTGCAGGGGTAACACCAACACCACCACCAACAACAACAACAGCAACAACAACAGCAAGAACAACATCATCATCAACAACAACAACAGCAACCACAACCACAACCACACACAACAACACGCAATAACTCACAACAACACACAACAACACACAACAACACACAACAACACACAAAAACACAACAACACACAAAAACACAACAACACACAACAACACACAACAACACACAACAACACACATCAACACACAACAACACACAACCAGCGAGTTGCAAAAACACGCGAATACACCACATATTTGACGATTCTCGGCCACTACGGAACCGAGAAAAAACGCTGCAGGGGTAACACCAACACAAACACCACCACCACCACCAACAACAACAACAAGAACAACAAGAACAACAAGAACAACAAGAACAACAAGAACAACAAGAACAACAACAACACCACGCAACACCACGCAACACCACGCAACACCACGCAACACCACGCAACACCACGCAACACCACGCAACACCACGCAACACCACGCAACACCACGCAACCCGCGCAACACACAGGAACACACAGGAACACACAGGAACACACAGGAACACACAGGAACAACACACAACAACACACAGGAACACACAGGAACACACAGGAACACACAGGAACAACACACAACAACACACAACAACACACAACAACACACAACAACACACAACAACACACAACAACACACAACAACACACAACAACACACAACAACACCACAACAACACAACAACAACACAACAACAACAACGACAACACACAACAACACACAACAACACACAACAACACACAACAACACACAACAACACACAACAACACACAACAACACACAACAACACACAAAAACACACAACAACACACAACAAAACACAACAACACACAACAACACACAACAACACACAACAACACACAACAACACACAACAACACACAACAACACACAACAACACACAACAACACACAACAACACACAACCACACACAACGACACACAACGACACACAACGACACACAACGACACACAACGACACACAACGACACACAACAACACACAACAACACACAACGACACACAACGACACACAACGACACACAACAACACACAACAACACACAACAACACACAACAACACACAACA